AGATGGCATACCGCAGTTTAATACTGATGCACCTTGACTCCGACCCGCCAGTTTTATCCCGTTAAAGCCGAGCGCCAGGCAGGATAACATCAAGTACCATATTTTAACGTATTTTGGTATGACACGGCCACGGAATCGAACCACAGACCTTCCGCTCTCCGGGCATACGCTCCATCCACAAAACCACGGAGGTGGTTGTTTCCGTGACTGAACGGAAGTCGGGGGAAACATCGTTAGTACTGCTTTTGATCCAAGGTGAGGTGAGGTGAAATTGGGTTTAACGTCGCGTCCAAGATTATTGCACTTATATAGCGACGTGCATGCACGTGTATGTGTGTGTGTGTGTGTGGCTGCTTGTACTAGTCCGGACTGATGCCGATTTATAGTGATAGCCCACTGAGATACCATGCTGCAGTTTAACATGAATACCCCACTCAGACACAGTATACTGACTCCGAGCCGACCAGTCCTTGCTTTAACCCCTTAATGTCGAGCGCCAGACAGGGTAACAACAAGTACCATCTTTTAACACCTTTTGGTATGACGCGGCCGGGGATCGAACCCCGGACCTTCCGCTATTCAGGCGGACGCTCTACCACTAGACCACGGAGGCGGTCTTTTGATACAAAGTAGTAACAGTCGGACATAATGATATAGAGCACAAGGCCCGTGAAGATCCGGGTTAGACTGAGTTTTCAGCGATCCATGCTTGTTGTAAGAGACGACTAATGGGATCGGGTGGTCGAGCTCGGTGACTTGGTTGAAGCATGTCATCGAATACCAAATGCGTAGATCAATGCTCATGTCTATCACTGGATTATCTGGTCCGGACTCGATTATTTACAGACCTCCGTCATGTAGCTGGGTTACTGCTGAGTAAACAACAAACAAACAAAGCATCAATATGTGACCTAGAGCATCACTTTTTGAACATTTACATGTAAAAATACATGTCTGTGATGTTTAGTTATATACTAGAGGGGGGGGGGGGGGGGGGGACACCAGTAATTGCGTGGATCGATGCTCATGATGTCAATCACTGGATTGTCGGGTCCAGACTCGATTATTTACAGACCGCCGTCATATAGCTGGAACATTACTGAGTGTGGCGTTAAACAACAAACAAACAAACAAGGTTATGTATCTCGGGGTTCCTCGACGGAGCAGATTCGCAAGGCCCACATGAATAATAACCGACTGGAGAAGGATGCTGGGCGGTTACAATGTAAGGGGACCAAACCCAATATTGCAGAATGTAGTTAACTGATGAGGGAGACAACACAAAACGAATTTATATCAACACAATTAGCAACAGAGTGAACAAATAATGTCATTTCCTAAGGCATTTGAATAAATAAAAAAGCGAGGGGTATTATAGTGTGGTTAATATACCAACCCATCCCCATGCAATGCTTGTTTAATCCCTTTGTGAAATCCAATGGCAAGCAAATACGATGTAGCCGGTCTCTTATTTGTACACTGTAAGTTTACATATAATTACGGCGTTAATTCCCTTATAACGAGCCTTTAAAAACGTGGGTGAAAATTAGTTGATGTCCTTATTTCAGTCATCTGTGTTCCTGTGAGCAAAGATAATATTCTCGCCCATGGGCTTTTAAATTTTGAGTTTTCAAAAGAGAAAACTTTGATTTTTTTCTTCCTTTTCATGTATCCATGAGAACAGCATGTTCAATTTTGTAAATACCTTTGGCAGAGACTGGCCACAGAAGGGAGAACCTCTGAACAAATGGGTTTCCGGCATTAAAATGGGACGTGTTGTTGTATTATGTCATCATTTTAAAATGTCAACTCAAAAGATGCGATAGTTTTACTATCAGCGATGTTCTTCTTTACATTTTGAAAACACATCTTATTTGCTTATACGACTTAATGCCTGTTTCAGGTGTCAATACGGTAGCGAAGTAGAAGTGCTGTAACTGTTGGAAGAAGCGTCATAAAATATATAGCCCTCGAAAAAGCAATATTAACGTTATACTTTTCAAACAAAATCGATAGTGATGTTTGCCAAAGCTTCTCTACGACATGTAAGTACAACATAACACTAGTAGTTCACGAACTACGTTGAAGCTATTACAAAAGCTGAAGTGTGCAGCTGACAACAGATACCGTTACCAGGAAAGACTACACATGCCGACCCATTCGCAATGTTATTGTTACCACCATATCTATAGTACTTGAATATGTAGAGTATGAAACTCGTTATACATGTATGTCCTTACATTTGAAACAATTGACATGTGTTTTTGTGTTTCAAAACTGCATCGACATCAACATCAACCTCTTCAGCTCATGTTATACACAAGATTCACCTTCACTCTGCACATGTGAGCCTTTCGACGGACTGATCATTGCATGGGTGATACGTGCAGGATATACTATAGAATACCGTAAGGGACATTCTCGCGATCTCGCATTTTCGCACTTTGGGCATATATAGCTCGTTTCTAAAGGTCGAGATCGCGAGAGGCGAGATGTCCCTTACAGTATTCCATAGAAACCAGCTCGGATTTTGAACGCCCTGAAACAATTTAAGTGTTTCATTCACACAGAACAATTCAGGAGACATTTGAGTCAACGTAACTATCGTAAATCTTGTTTTGTCACTCGAAATTAATTAAAAAGCTAGAATTAGTGTCTGTGCCATTCATGATACAGGTGTGACACGTCCTTGAATAATGTGTCCACCTCGATCCGAATCGTGTTTCCGGGAGGTTTTCTACCGATGTATAAAAAGCAAGGATAGTGTCGCATTGTTATGTATAATCAGTGTGACTCCGATTCACCGTTGATGCATGTTGAATGTCAGAATAATAACAACACACATTTCATACCATACGCTTCCTCAAGCGTAACGTGCATTCACATTGTCCGTACTTGTCTTTTGTTGTCCTTTATAATAATTGCAACCATTTTTTCATGTATTAACCATTTGCACTCCACTTGTCAAAACTTCTGTTCGACTACCAAAGGTATGTTTCAAGGTCAGTTTACAAACAACTAAATTGAGATTGATTACGTTAGATAATGATATTTCCAGGTTTTGTGTGTCTCCTTCAGACTCATTATGTGGGCTCGGTACCCAGCATGTCTGCGCGATGGCTGTCAAGCGCCACGTATGCATGAATAACAATACCTTGTGAAATGTTTCAAACTTCAAAATTCCGGACTGCATGGAGCGAGAAGGAGCGTGTGAATACCGTATGACGTCGCTTTTACATTTTTCATGTGTGATTGTTTAGTTCAGAGAAAATTTACATGAAGTGTTGTTTTTCATCAACTAGACGCGAACTGAGTATACTATAAAACTGTTCAAATCTTTGTTTGAAATGCCGTGCTTTCTGCAACTACTGTATATGCGATTCACACGTGATTATCATTATAGTTTAAGTTATGTGAGGTGAGGTGAGGTGAAATTGGGTTTAACGTCGCGTCCAAGATTATTGCACTTATATAGCGACGTGCATGCACGTGTGTGTGTGGCTGCTTGTACTAGTCCGGACTGATGCCGATTTATAGTGCTAGCTCACTGAGATACCATGCCGCAGTTTAACATGAATACCCCACTTAGACACAGTATACTGACTCCGAGCCGACCAGTCCTTGTTTTAGCCCCTTAATGTCGAGCGCCAGACAGGGTAACAGCAAGTACCATCTTTTAACGTCTTTTGGTATGACGCGGCCGGGGACCGAACCCCGGACCTTCCGCTCTCCGGGCGGACGCTCTACCACAAGACCACGGAGGCGGCTGTTTAAGTGATGACACTACATTCATAATCTTGATAATTAAGTTGGAGTTAACAAAGGGTCGGATGTATCGAACAGTAGGATATAACAAATAATGGGATCGAATAGTCGACAAAGACAAGTAGTGAGACATAACGAATAATAGGACCCATCGAACAGTAGGCTATAGTAAATATTGTCGTTTAGAACGAGTACTCTGATATAACAAATACCACTTTGAAACGAATGATCGGATCTATCGAATAATCGGATATAATGAATACTATTAGTCGTTTTGTCGAATCCAATTCTATTCCTCGGGGCTTGTTCATTTGAACTGCGAACTTCGAGTAAAAGATTTTAATTTGAAAAAAGCTGTTGGGTGGACTAGTGAGGGGATATTAAAAGGGTTTTCTAAAATACCATGATTACAGAAATACAAAGAGGTATCGAGTGATGGTAATGGCTGGATAAGGACATGGAAGAACTAAGTGTAACATGTGATCACCAGAACATGCTGGTGATGTATTGTAAGGGTACGGGAAACCAAGACAGACGACAGGGGTGTGTAGTATAACAATGAACGTTTAAAATGACTTGAGTTGTCAATAATGGGCATGATTCATGGCTGCCCGTTGCGTTCTGAGGATGTTTTGCTGATGGAGATTGTCAGATAAGATCATACGTGTACTGGAGGCACGAGCTTTATCGTCTTGAAAGACAAAACCTGGACCATCATGGCGCGCAAACGTTATTTGCGCCAGTAGGTTGTCTCGGTAGTGCTGTCCAGTGACCTTTCTATGTACAATATAAAAAAATAAAATTATGCAGTGGCGTTCTGGCAGTCATAGTGATCCCTCCCCATATCATTACAGGAACACCCCCAAACATGTCATGTTGCCTTACGTTGGCGTTCGCACGACGTTCGTTGCGGCGCATCCATATACGTCTGCGCCTATCCAGAAAGTGAAGAGTGAATCTGGACTCTTATGAAAACATTACCCGAGACGATTGGCAATTCCCTCAGTTTCCATGCTCTAAACACCATCGTCGTTTGGCTAGAATGTATCGATTTGTTAAGGGCGGTACAACGTGTGATCGTCGAGCATGTAGATTAGTCTGGTCAGTAAGCAAGTGAACAGCGATTTGATTGGCTGTTTGAGTTCGATTTCTAACCTGGTTTCTGATTAATCGATCCTGGACCTATGGTGCCCTGTGCGGGGCCGATCATTAACATTTTGTTTCTGAAACCTGTTTCAAAGTCTGCAAATGTGAGACAGTGTCACATTGAACATATTGACTACCTCTCGCTGAGTTCTACCAATTTGAAGCATGCTCATATCCCTTCATTTCGTTGCAGACGACGCATTCCAAATCTGATCACAATTACAACTTTAAAGCAAGAGTAGAGAGCTAACTACTTGTTACTATGGATAATGAAAATCAAATATCTTATCGCTCACTGGAGTTTCAAAATCAAGAACCCCCCCCCCCCCCCCCCCCCCCCCCTCAAGTGCAATGTTTCGGGTGTGTTTGGATGTTAGATTTGAGTTCAGAAATCGTACTCTGGCAGTCATATCTGATCTTTCTTCTGACGACTGATTAACTTTATATTTCATGACCCCCTTCCTTTTGTTGAGAATGTGGTTTCAGTCAGGATGGTGGTGTCACATTTCTGTAATGATTATTTCTAATAAGAAAGCATCTCACCGTGTAGGTCACATGTGTACATACGTATTTAACAGTTTCTTACGTGTTCCTGATTTTTTTATAGGATTCCCAAAATTAAAATCCCTTGTTCACAAAAGGCATCACACCTCCATTGCATTTAGATAAGTATGTAGATGTAGATGTAGATGGAGATTGCGATTGAGATGTAGATGGAGATTGAGATTGCGATGTAGATGGGGATTGAGATCACGATGAAGATGGAGATTGCGATTGAGATGTAGACGAAGATGGAGATTGCGATGCAGATGGAGATTGCGATTGAGATGGAGATTGCGATTGAGATGTAGATTAAGACGTAGATGTAGATTGAGATGTAGACGAAGATGGAGATTGCGATTGAGATGTAGACGAAGATGGAGATTGAGATGTAGATGGAGACTGAGATTGCGATGTACATGGCGACGGAGATTGCGATGTAGATGTAGATGTAGATTGAGATGTAGATGGAGACTGAGATTGCGATGTAGATGGCGATGGAGATTGCGATGTAGATGTAGATTGAGATGTAGATGTAGATTGAGATGTAGATGTAGATTGCGATTGAGATGTAGACGAAGATGGAGATTGCGATGTAGATGTAGATTGCGATTGAGATGTAGATGGAGACTGAGATTGCGATGTAGATGGCGATGGAGATGGAGATTGAGATTGCGATTGCGATGTAGATGGAGATGGAGATGGAGATGGAGATTGAGATTGAGATTGCGATGTAGATGTAGATGAAGATTGCGATGTAGATGTAGATGTAGGATGAGATTGAGATTGAGATAAAAATGGAGATTTAGATTGCAGTTGAGATGTAGATGGAGATGGAGATGGAGATTGAGATTGCGATGAAGATGTAGATGTAGATGTAGATGTAGATATAGATGTAGATGTAGATTGAGACGTAGATTGAGATTGCGATGCAGATGTAGATTGCTATTGAGATGGAGATTGCGATTGAGATGTAGATATAGATTGCGATGTAGACGTAGATATAAAGGGAAATTGCGATTGAGATGTAGATATAGATTTAGATGTAGATATAGATGGAGCTTGCGCTTGAGATGTAGATTGAGAAGTAGATGTAGATGTAGATGTAGATGTAGATGTAGATTGGGAATGAGATTGCGATTGAGATGTAGATTGCGATTGAGATGTAGATTGCGATTGAGATGTAGATATAGATTGCGATGTAGACGTAGATATAAAGGGAAATTGCGATTGAGATGTAGATGGAGATTGCGATTGAGATGTAGATGGAGATTGAGATTTAGATTGAGATTGAGATGTAGATTGCGATGTAGATGTAAATGTAGATGTAGATGTAGATGTAGACTGAGATGTAGATTGAGATGTAGATTGCGATTGAGATGTAGATATAGATTGCGATTGAGATGTAGATATAGATTGCGATTGAGATGTAGATATAGATTGCGATGTAGACGTAGATATAGAGGGAGATTGCGATTGAGATGTAGATGGAGATTGCGATTGAGATGTAGATGGAGATTCCGACTGAGATTGAACGGAGATAGGGATGGATGGGGATTAAGATTGGGAAGGGGATGGCGATGGGAATGAAAGTCTTGAATGGGGATTGGATGATAAAAGGGATAGTGACCGGGATGGAGATTTAGTTGTGTTATATGTGATAAGTTGCATGCGATGCATGGATTTGCTATCGTATGTAAGGAGCTAGAGTAGTCACATGACCTAACATGGCGACGTCCATGGATTCGTCGCGAGATATCATTCATTCTAGAGTAAGCATTCGAAACTTGGTAAGTTGATGACGTATGAGTGTAATAGCGGTTGAGGCTACAGTTGTACTATGGCGATGGTGTAGTAAAGACCGTTTTGTTTGAAACGAAGTGTTTGTTGAGTTTGAGTCAATCTGGGTTGTCAACAAGTGAGCATAGTGCCAGGCGGAGATACAACAGTTTATATTGTTAGGATGGAGATCGAGATGGGGTGAAGATCGATAGGGGGTTGGGGATAGGGGTGGTGATGTAGATAGGGATAAGGACGGACTTCAGGATGGCAATCGGGAGGGAGATGGGAATAAAGATCGAGATGGGGAAGGAATAGGGGATTGCAATGAGATGGATATGGTGAATGGATATCGGGATGGAGAGTGAGATTGGCACTGGGATGGAGATCATGATGGGGATCGAGATGGAAATGGGGATGAGTTTGGGTGGAGATCGGGATTTGGTTGGAGGGCGAGATGCGGATTGGGATGGAGATTGAAATGGAAACTGGGCTAAAAGATGGGATGAGGACAGAGATGAAGATGGGGATGAAGGTCGAGAAGGGGAAGGGATGAAGGTCGAGATAGAGATGGGATGAAGGTCGAGATAGGGATGGGATGAAGGACGATATGGGGATGTGATAAAGGTCGAGATAAGAATTGGATGAAGGTCGATATATGGATGGGTGTGAAAGTGGAGAAGAGGATGGGATGAAGGTCGATATGAGGATGTGATGCAGGCCGAGATATGGATGGGGATGGAGGTAGATATGTGGATGGGTGTGAAAGTGGAGAAGAGGATGGGATGAAGGTCGATATGAGGATGTGATGCAGGCCGAGATATGGATGCGGTCGAGATAGGGATAGGGATGGGATGGGAATGAAGGTCGAGATAGGGGATGGGATGAAGGTCGAGATAGAGATGGGGATCAAGGTCGTGATTAGGATAGGGATGAAGGTCGAGATAGAGATGGGATGAAGGTCGAGATAGGTATGGGATCAAGACAGAGATGAAGATGGGGATGAAGGTCGAGATAGGGATGGAAAGACGGTCGAGATATGGATGGGATGAAGGTCGAGAAGTGGATGGGGTGGAGGTCGATATGAGGATGGGGATGGAAGTCAAGATAGGGAATGGGATGGAGGTCGAGATAGAGATGGAATGATGGTCGAGTTAGGGATGGGATGGAGGTCGAGATAGGGAATGGGATGGAGGTCGAGATAGGGAATGGGATGAAGGTCGAGATAGGGGATGGGGTGAAGGTCGATTTGAGGATGGGGATGAAGGTCGAGATTGGGATAGGGATGAAGGTCGAGATAGAGATGGAATGATGGTCGAGTTAGGGATGGGATGGAGGTCGAGATAGGGGATGGGATGGAGGTCGAGATAGGGAATGGGATGGAGGTCGAGATAGGGAATGGGATGAAGGTCGAGATAGGGGATGGGGTGAAGGTCAATATGAGGATTTGGATGAAGGTAGAGATAGGGATGGGATGAAGGCCGAGAAGCGGATGGGATGGAGGTCGAGATAGGGATGGTATGGAGGTCGAGATAGGAATGGTATAGAGTTCGAGATACTATGGAGATGAAGGTCGAGATGGGGATGGGATGACGGTCGAGATAGGGATGGGGATGAAGGTCGAGATAGAGATGGAATGATGGTCGAGTTAGGGATGGGATGGAGGTCGAGATAGGGGATGGGATGGAGGTCGAGATAGGGAATGGGATGGAGGTCGAGATAGGGAATGGGATGAAGGTCGAGATAGGGGATGGGGTGAAGGTCAATATGAGGATTTGGATGAAGGTAGAGATAGGGATGGGATGAAGGCCGAGAAGCGGATGGGATGGAGGTCGAGATAGGGATGGTATGGAGGTCGAGATAGGAATGGTATAGAGTTCGAGATAGTATGGAGATGAAGGTCGAGATGGGGATGGGATGACGGTCGAGATAGGGATGGGGATGAAGGTCGACAAGGGGATAGAATGAAGGTCGAGATAGGGATATGATGGAGGTCGAGATAGGGATTGAGATGAAGGTCGAGATAGGGATGGATGAAGATGATGGCCGCCATGGGGATGGGATGAAGGACGAAAAGGGGATGGAGATGGGGATGAGGGTCGGGGTGGGAAAAGAGGTAGTGATGTGGGTGGTGGAATTGGGGATGGGGATGAAGCTCGAGATGGGGGTCAAAAATACTTTCAGTGCAGAATCAGAATGATTTACAAATGTATCTTCAACTTTCTTTGTGTTTCAGTTTCTTGCACTTGCAGACCCCGCGTGTCCTCAGCGACCCTGAGTAGGAGGGAAATACTAACGTGATGGCATTCTTAAGACACGATATCGAAATTCCGAACACGACCCATCGACGAGGGGATTCACGGCCCAGCAAAGGCGGAGGAGTGAGGAGTATTGTTTCTTAATCCGAAATCCTACACTCCTATTCTCGATATGCTCCGTAAATATGCATGTGGTCATCGAGGACTGCGAGGTTTCGGATTAACGGCCGTGTAGGGAGCCACAATGTGACCCTTGCTTTCATCCCGCTCTGAAGAGGGTGTGGCAGGCGGTATTGTATGTTTGACGCCCTTTCTGTCAGGAATGATAGAATATTTCTGTACCCCCGGAATCTCTGAAAGGATAAGATGAATGATGATTGCATTTTGAGGCCCAACACGGGAAGGACAAATCCAACTTTAAAATTGTAAACCACAAGGGTATTTAGCAAATCTATATGTGACTCAAAACAGAGGCTTTCTGTCAAACAGTTCTAGTTTGAGTTAATGGGTGAGTCTTTCGGGACGTGATATATATTATAAGTAGGCAGATTGTCATGTTTGGTTTGAAGCCACACAACTCTGCACGGAGAATTGCGCCACCAGAAATGAAATATGCTCTTGTGTATCTGTAAATTGTAAGCGATGGTTGGCTATCAAGTTAGTCGCACAAATATTGACATCTCAACCTAAAGCAACCGTCTAGTGTTCATGGCCATTACCAATATGTGATTTTTCCCTCCCTATGAATGTTGTTTCTATACTCTGTCTCTTTCCACTCCCTTATACTATTCCCACTCATGCACCCGACAACACCCGCTTCTCCATCAGAAACCACACACCCGACAACACCTGACAACATCCGAAAACACTCGATAGCACCCAACAATCCATCAGAAACCACACACCCGACAACACGCGACAGCACCCGACAAGACCCGACAACCCATCCGAAACCACACACCCAACGACACCCGACAACATCCGACAACACCCGATAACGTCCGACAGCCCACCAGGAACCACACACCCGACAACTTCCCTTCCCAACACCCACCGGAGGAACAAAATAAATAAAAGCGACAACACCATTTCCATAATCACAAGGTATTTTCGTTTCTACTTCCACAAATGCAATATTTTTGTAAGTCATTTCTTAAGTAACCAATTCGGATATAATGATATCAATTATTCATGTTGCAATTTTTCGAGTCAATACGACATTTCAGATAAAACAAGCTGTTTGGTAACAATGTTCCTTGGAATCCGAAAATATTCAAAGACCATGATTTGATGATGGAATGTCTTAGTGATAGCGCAAGACACCCACGGGGTAGGACCATCATAGGACACACGCTGCCTACATAGTGTAGAGTCTCATTAAAGTTTCCTGCACACCTGTTGTTCCCTACGCCAGTCATGTCCCCGCCTACAGAGAAAGAAGAATTATCAAGCGTCCTTAAATTGTAATAAAAGTCAGTCGATCATGGCTCGAAAGTGTTAAAAGTACAGGACATATGAACCCCGGGAAGGGAGGTGAAAGCAATGAATTTATCAAAACTACCCAAATATTCACAAAAAACACCTTATATAATAAACGTATAATATGATACCCATAAAGTTAACTATCATAGAATTACAATATGGTTGTCGTGATATATTTTTTTATAACGTCTTTTCTATGAATTCACAGTACGGCAAACCTTGTCTGTCTTTACGAGTCATCAATTTTTAAGAAAGGCGAGTTGGAACCATAAATTTCATTTAATGAGTTCGTCCTAAAATTTTCTTTTTTGAACAAAGTTTTCAAAAAATTACCTTTGCTGTAATTATATATTAATGCCTCTCATAATGCCTCTCATCGCATATTTCACTAGCTATTACTCTGTCTGGTTGGGAGTTAAAGCATATTTTAACATAAATGGCGTGTTATCTGATAATTATGAAAAAGGTATGGCACTTCCACAGGTTATTAATATTGAATTATGTGAAATTCATACCAGTCCATCCTATCATATTTTCTCTATTTATACATTAAGCTTCAGAAACACAAAGGAAAATATTTTGAAGTCGTCGTCAATCTTTCAATGTTCAAAGCCTTAACGTTTGAGATGTACCAGTCCTTCAATCTTGAAGGGGATATTTGTTTATATTATAAAAGTATGTTATTGCATACAACAATCATATTCAGTATAGTTAACAATATTAACATAAATCTTTCCATGCATATATATTTCGACAACCTCGAGTAATTATAACCATAATTGTGATTATAAGGGTTGGATAGCTTAGTGGTGTTCCTTTTGGCGCAGTGGAGAAGACCTATTCTATACCATCTTCACCGGTCGAGTAAGTGAGTGAAACTTTTCCAGCAACATCACAGCGCGGGACATCAGAAATGGGCTTCACACATTTTACCATTGCAGGGCCGTAACAGGCGACAATGCTTGTCGTAAGAACCGACTAACGGGATCGGGTGGTCAGGCTCGCTCACTTGGTTTAAGCATGCCATCGTATCCCAATTGTGAGGATCGATGTTCATGATGTCAATCATTGGATTGTCTGGTCCAGACTCGATTATATGCAGACCGCTGTCATATAGCTGGACTATTGCTGAGTGCGGCGTTAAACAACGAATGAACGAACACTCACTCACTCACTCACTCACTCACTCACTCACTCACTCACTCACTCACTCACTCACTCA